GTTCTCTTTTCGGTAACCTGGTGTTTCTCTTTCCGGTTGATTTGCGTCATTTCCCTTCAGTTGATCTGGTGTTTCCCTTTCCGATCGATCTGATGTTTTTCCCTCTTATTATATGACCTATTCGGATCTGCTGCTATCTCAGCCGATGTGGATGTTTTCCCTTTCCAGTCGAGCTGGTGTTTTTTCCCTCTTATTATTTGACCTATTCGGATCTGTTTGCAGACTATCGCCTTTACTATCCTCTATATAATAAAACATACCTTCGGTCTATTTATTTGGAGTGAAAAGTTTCTTTTACGTCTCCGATCGAATCCCCAAACCTCTCATAACAATACCTCACCATGAAAGAAGGGGAGCGTAATTCCACCCACTTTACATACGGGCTGCAGATAGTGACTTCCTTCCAAAGAGTAAAGGATAGAAAACAGGGGGAAAAGAGTAACATTACAGTGAAGAAACCTGACACACGCTACTTCAGCCAGGTTACTAAGATCAACATCAACAGTGAGCAATCATACTGCTACTATATACCCTTGATATGATGCGAAGAATATGGCACTTGATCTCTGTGACCTTCCTCCCAAGTACTCATCACTATAGTCCAGAAAAGCATCAGACAAATCCCAACTGGGGCACATCCTGCAGCATACCTGACCAAAACTCCTCACATCTGTCAAGGTCAACAAAAACAAGGAAAGTCTGAGAAACTATCATAGACAAAAGGAGCTTAAGAAGACATGACGACTAAAAATGTAATATGATGTCCTGGAGGGGATCCTGGAATAGAAAAATGATGTTAGGTACAAACCAAAGAAACCTAATGTATCAATTGGTTCATAAATTATAACAAATGTATCATATTAATGTAAGATGTTAATAGGGGCAACTGGGTGTGGGGTGTATGGGAACTCTCTGTACTATCTTCTGTAAATCTAAAACTGAAAAATAGTTTATTTTAAAAAACCTGAAGTACACGACATTTTTTAAAAATTGTTTGAAAAGATAATTCTGCTTAAGCACTTTTCCAAACAAGGCACCGTCATATTTCAATCCCTTTAAGTAAATATGACTATTTTGCCTTCTTTCCACATAAATCTGATGTTAACTTGTCTCTGTAGCAGAATGTATGAAAATACTTGGATTTTGCTTAATGAGCTCAGGGGCAATCTATTTCCTTTTGGAAACTAAAAGCTCATTAGTACATTTTCAACTTGAGATTGAGTTATTTTCTAAAAGTTTACATTTAAGTCAAGTGTTTGAAACTTGAAACACATTTCCCCACAGAAATGTTATTACAAACAGTGGTTAATTCCCAGGCCAGCCCACTGAAGCTCATTAAACTCATAATAAGCAAACATAGACATTTGCAATGAAAACAATATAAAACTCTATTATTTTTAAAACCTGCCTTTTAAATTAAAAGATAAATTTAAACATGCAACTTAAATTTATTCTCATCAAATCCATCCCCCCCAGTGTCTGAACCAGGGGCTCACTTGGGGCCTCTTTGCATACAACCTTCAACACTGCAAACGGGGCAGGGGAGGAGAGTGGAAGGTGTTAAACTCAGGTGAGTGGGAGATGGAGAGACCCTATGCACAGTTTGGGAAGGAAAATATGTCGTTTTAACCCAGATGGCAGGGGAGGGGGGTGTTCTACTTTGATTTCTGGGAGTACAATGAAGTTGGTGCCCCACAGGATAGAGGAAGGGATAGAAAGGGGCCTTTGGCTTCTCATTATCCTAGAATCATGAATGTGCTACTATCCAGAGGGTGGGGAATAGAGTATGTCTGCCGGCAGTTGGTGAGCACAAATGACTCTAACTCTCTCAGTCATCTAACTCTTCAAGCTGGTGGGATCTGAGGACACAGGTGGGCAGCAGGCAGTGGTCCTGGCCTCCTCACAGCAGTGCCACTTAGCAGAGGACAAAGACAGACAGTGCATTCACATAGGAGACCTGTGGAAATGCTGACAGGGTGTGAAGAGGACATACATTTTCAACATGGAGGATCAGAAGAGGAAACAGAGTTGAGGAAAAATGAAATTTCTTGCAGTGGTGCCAGCCAAAATGTTAGACCCAGCTGGGGTCATGATTTCTATAGCACAGCTAGGCCTACATCTGATGTATTTCAGGGGTCCATCCCGGTTTGGGGAGGCACTTCACAAACAATCCTGTTTCTAAACACTACATATTTGTTAAATTAAAAGAAATAAGAAAACATTATACCATAAAAAGAACTATAAGAACTTTTCAAAAGCATACTTAAAAACAAGTATTTCTTTAAATCATATACTCTCAAGTATTTTTTAAAACCATGCTATATATGTTTTATAATGTATCATGGACTTAAACAAAAGAAATTTTTTTATTGCTCTTCCTCTCCCTCTCCAGATACCCTCTCCACCAATGTTTACAACCTGGCAGGCATCCTTCTATACCTTTCCTAATTTTCCATTAAGTATTCAAATATATATGAATGCATTTTTACACTGTTTTATAAAACACGACAATATGTATTGATATCTCAAAGGCAAATCTTAGCAGGTCTATGATATGCTATAGCATAGATATGCCAAATTTATTCAACCATTTCTTTATTGACAGTTATTGTTTCCTTTATTTTGCTTTTTGCCACTGGAAACACTAAGACAAAAAATCTTCATGCATACATCTTGAGTTATTCAAATGTATGCTCAGTTGCTGTTGTTAACAAACACTCCAAAAATTTCACCAGCTTACCACAAGTTTGTTTCGAGCTCAGACCACTGTCTGATACAAGTCAGGCTGTTATTTTGAGTTTGCCTCCAGTAGTAATTCAGGGGTCCATCTTATGATTTCGCTCAGAGTCCTTCATTTCCCGCAGCCAAGGATGGGAGAGGGCTTGGAAGATGACAAGTAAAGATTTATGACAAAGACTGGATGTGGCTTAGGACACTTCTGTCCAGTTTCCACAGCCCAATCATGAGGTCCCAACTTAACTGCAAGGGAAGCTGGGAAACACAATCTTCCTGTCTGCCCAAAGGAAACAAAGAGCATTTAGCTTACTTTGCCAAATATCATTACATATTGGTGTCTTTATTCCAAAGGCTATATTTCTCAACTGAAATTCTGGGCTGTGAACTTTCTATATGATGTATGTTCACTTTGTGAAAAGACCCTAATACCTCCTATTTCTGTCAGCAGAGTAAGAATACACAGCTCTTGCTCTTCTAAATCTCCCCTCTATAGGTGCTAAAAGCCTAGAAACTCTATTGACCAGATTCCTGTCTCAACAGGGTCCTGGTTTAACGTCCACCAATGACAGGCACTCTCATTGTGAAATTAGGAAGGGTGAAGAAAGCAAGCGGCCTTTATTTCATTACACATGTTGACAGATGGCAGAAATGGCGTGTACAGTGGCTTCCAGGTGATGTTCTGCATTGTGCAGAGATTACTGGCAGAGGCCTTCCCTGAAATTCCTGCACTACTGGATTTTCTAAAAGCCAGCAACGATTTCTCTTGACTTGTTCCATCTTTCTGACAGTTTAGTGAGCATCTCATTTCTTATAGAAAATCTCTTCCTACTAGAAATGTTTAAAGCAATTTATTTTCCAGACCAAGAACTAACTCATACATCAGTCTAAATTCGTCTTTGGTTTTGTTTATGGCCCATTTTTTTCCACATGTATTTTTTAAATTCTTATATTTCAAATATATTTTTTATACTATAGCTGTGGAGTTGACGTCTTCCCAAAGACTTAGTTAACATAAATATTCTGTAAAACTTTTAATTTTTATCTTTTATATTTGTCATTAGTCCATCTGGAATTTACTTTTGCATATATTGTGACTGCTAGTATCATTTATTAAATAAATCACGTTTTCCCACCCAATTGAAATACCATCCTTGTCCCAAATGTCTTGGTCTATTTCTAGGCCACCTAGTCTATTCCAATGATCTATTTGCTTATTTCTAAGCAATGCCATACAGTGTTGACTGCTGCGGCTTTATAAGATACTTTAACAACTGGTTTATAAATTTAAACTCAACGGAGATCATCTAACACAATAACTTGTGCTACCAGGTTAACTCAGTTGTATACAGAACTCAGGTTAAAACTTCTTTTTCTAACCCTGTGCATGTATTTGAACTTTCTACAAATATAAATAACAGAAACAACTCAATGCTTGGCTAATATAAGGGGGCAATGGTCAATCCTAACCTGGTTTCAAATGTTTGAGAAGGGAGCCAGTCCTGATGGCCTAGTGGTTAAAGTTCGGCGCGCTCCACTTCAGCGGCCCGGATTCGGTTCCTGGGTGCGGAACCACACCACTTGTCTTCAGTAGCCAGGCTGTGGCAGCAGCTCACCTGTAAGAAGTAGAAGGATGTACAGGGCCGGCCCAGTGGCTTAGCAGTTAAGTGCGTGCGCTCCGCTGCTGGCAGCCCAGGGTTCAGACCCCGGGCGCGCACCAACGCACCACTTCTCCAGCCATGCTGAGGCGGCGTCCCACATACAGCAACTAGAAGGATGTGCAACTATGACATACAACTATCTACTGGGGCTTTGGGGAAAAAAAGGAGGAGGATTGGCAATAGATGTTAGCTCAGAGCTGGTCTTCCTCAGCAAAAAGAGAAGGATTGGCATGGATGTTAGCTCAGGGCTGATCTTCCTCACAAAAAAAAAAAAAAAAAGGATGTACAACTAGAATATACAAGTATATTCTGAGGCTTTGGGGAGGAGGAAAAAAAAAGGGAAGAAGATTGGCAACAGATGTTAGCTCAGGGTGAATCCTTCCCAGCAAAAAAAAACCCAAAAAACAGAAATTAAAATCCTTGGGTCCTATCCCAGACCTCTTAAGGTATGGGCCCAGCAATCTGTAAAAAAAATAAAAATTAAAAAAAAAGTTTGAGAAGGAGCAGCCCACTCCTCTCACAGATTGCTTTTATAATAAGTAAATGTTATAAAATTGAATTTGTAATGTTATCCTAATCAAATACTACTTTTTCAGTTACATATACTTTATATATAGGACTCCACATAAGATTTTGTCTATAAAATGGGTAGCATTACCAGTAAGTTTTAAAACTATTGGTCTAATACATAAACTTGTGTTGTCTTCAAGATTAATCAATCAACTATTTGCCTGATTTATTTTTTTAGTGAGATGTAATTCACATACCACAGAGTTCACCCTTTAAAGTGTTCAATTCAGTGGCTTTTAGTATATTCACAAAGTTGTGAATCCATCACCATTGTCTAATTCCTGTTTGTCTGATTTTTTATTTAAAAAAATGAAAAAACAAAAGTTCAATTTTCATTCAATAAATATCATTTGATCCTTATGCAGTTCTGTTGAAGAAAGTGAAGTCCACGATTTTAGAATGATGATAGCAATCAGTTTTCACACAGTTTCAATAATTGCAGCAATTTCCTTGAACTGTCTGTAGAAATTCTGGGGAGAAAGAGGAAAAATAACATTAATTTTCTTTTACAGGATATTTAAGTAATTCTTTTAATTATATCTGACCACCAGAGTCTATATAACATACGTATTAAGTTTGCATTTTAATATTACATCTTCAACTATTATTTTTGTTTTTTATTTTTTTGTGAGGAAGATCAGCCCTGAGCTAACATCCATGCCAATCCTTCTCTTTTTGCTGAGGAAGACCTGCTCTGAACTAACATCTATTGCCAATCCTCCTCCTTTTTTTCCTCAAAGTCCCAGTAGATAGTTGTATATCATAGGTGCACATCCTTCTAGTTGCTGTATGTGGGACGCCGCCTCAGCATGGTCGGAGAAGCGGTGCGTCGGTGCGCGCCCAGGATCCAAACCTGGGCCGCCAGTAGTGGAGCGCACACACTTAACCGCTAAACCACGGGCTGGCCCCATCAACTATTATTTTTAGAAGGTTACCATAAGAAACAAACAGGTTCAATTTGGTACTGCAAGCAAAAATACTATTGTAGTGTTGGATAATTAGCTCATGACTAAACTTTTTTAAAAGCACATGATAAAGTTCTTTTGAGATCACACCAGAAAGATTTATTAAATACCCAGCACTGTCCTAGACAATGAAGATGAAAAAAAAAAAAGATAGGTTGGTTCCCAGGCTTCAAACCACTTTTAATCTAGTGAAAGGCTGCATTTCAGGGTGATAGGGACTGTCTTGTTTAAGAAATGGGTTCAGTTACAATAAGAGAGACTCAACATTGACAATAGCTTATATGGCAGAAGCTTATTTATGTCTCTTTCATTTAAAAATTGAGCTGGTATGGTGGTTCTCCTGTAGAAGTCATCTTCTTTATTTAAATCTCAGATAAGAGAAGGACGAAACAAACTCTCTTTTCCTTTCTTCTCCTCTACCTGCTAGGAAGGAAGCTAGGAGGCAAATTTGAAACTTAATCTCAGCAACTAGGATACCGTCTAAGATTGACATCCTTGTACTTTCCTTCTTAATTGGACTTAATTCTCTACTTTGCTACTTAAGAGTATATGTATTTTGTTTTAATTTATATGTAAATTTGTTATGGAATGAAGCAGACTGTAACTATTTCTTTAAAACTATATACTGATGGGGGCCAGCCCAGTGGCATACTGGTTAAGTTCGTGCGCTCTGCTTCGGCACCCCGGGTTCATGGGTTCGGATCCTGGGCATGGGCCTACGCACCACTTATCAAGCCAAGCTGTGGCAGGCGTCCCACATATAAAGTAGATGAAGATGCGCACGGATGTTAGCCCAGGGCCAATCTTCTTCAGCAAACAGAGGAGGATTGGCAACAGATGTTAGCTCAGGGCTAATCTTCCTCACACACAAAATATATATATATATATACACATATATACAGATGGTCAAAATATATACTGATGGTCAAAATCTTAATACTGAAATTTTTAGCCCTCAGTCGTATAATGTGACTAAACAGGCTCTGTTTGCCTGGTTAGCTTTAAGCCATGTAAAAACTATCTTTAAAAAGAGTTGCCCCATTTGTGATTTTTTTTCCTATGAGAAAAAAAAATTTTAGAAGTGGAATCCAGAGAGCATAAATGCTCCACAGAAAAATAAGAATTAGGCCAGGATTGTGAATTACAAAAAGCACTGAAAGCTACATTCTCTTTTTAAATGGATTTGGTCCTTATATTCAGTTGAAAGCTACTCACATATCACAACATACAACATTTATTTCCTTTTAACCAAGTCCTAATTCTTTCCAAGATACTAATTAGCATTAATAATGTTGAATCTGTGACAATTATTTTTTGTTGTAAAGCAAAGATATCTGTTCTAAAAGAAAGAAATCAAAGGGAAAGAAAACCCTTAAAATGTAATTTGTAAAACAGAACTACAATATAACCCAGCAATCTCACTTCTGGATATACATCCAAAGGAAATAAAATCACTATCTCAAAAAGATATCTGCACTCCCATGTTCACTGCAGCATTACTCATAGTAGCCAAGGTATGGAAACAACCTAAGTGTCTGCTGCTAGATGAGTGGATAAAGAAAACGTGGTGTATATATACATATACAACAGAATACCTTTCATCCTTATAAAAGAAGGAAGTCCTGCTATTTTTGACAATATGGATGAACCTGGAGGACATTATGCTAAGTGAAATAGGCGAGACAAAGACAGACAAATACTGTATGATCTCACTTATATGTAGAATCTAAAAAAGTGGAACTCATAGTAACAGAGAATAGACAGTGCTTACCAGGGCTGGGGGTTGGGAGAAATGAGGAGATGCAGATCAAAAAGTACAACCTTTCAGTTATAAGATGAGTAAGTTCTGGAGACCTACTGTATAATATGGTGACTACAGTTAATAATAAGGTATTGTATACTTGAAATTTGCTAGAGAGTGGATCTCAAGTGTTCTCACCACACACACACACACACACACACACACAGACACACAGACACACCCAAAGAAGGTGACTATGTGAGATGATGGATATGTTAACCAGCTTGAATGTAGTAACCATTTCACAACGTATACATATACCAAAACATCACATGGTACACCTTAAATATATACAATTTTTATTTGTCAACTATACCTCAATAAAACGGGGGGGGAAAATGTGGTTTGTAAAAGAAAAATTAAAAATATCCTAAAGTGGTATATGAGAGGCTTTTCTTAAAAAAGAAAGCTAGGATCAATATATTTTTAGTGAGTTTTGCAAAGAATTCTCATCATATTTCCATTTCAGTCACTATGGTTAAGTCCTAACTGCTGTGGGGATTCTTATCCACTCACTCACCAAAGGGATCAAAACAAACAAAAACAAAACTCTAAGGCCAGTTGAATTAGTCAATGACAAAACACTTCCGTGTATGTACATGTAAAAGAAAATCTCATTTCTTGCCCACCCTCTTTTTTTTTCCTTCCTTGCTTACAGAAAAGGGGTAGAATGATAACATGGATAACATGACTCTACACTACTGAGTTACTCAAATCTCTAGCTGATGAAACTAGTCATCGAGTACTGGTGCTCTGATCTGCATTTTGTAAATATCATTAGTCAGAAAATTCAGGGTCCACACTGCTCAAAGAGAAGATTCATTTAGCTTATCATTCTTGAATAGTAAGCCTAAAAAGAACAAGAATAAAACAGTTAAATGCAAAGTAAATATCCTGCCAGAGAAGATGAAAATTTCCTAAGTATACTCACAGAGGAGTACTGTGAAAGTGATCAAATGTTACAGGACACAAATTCAGCATAATATATTGAAAATAATTTATCAAATTCCCAAAGAAAACAAATTCAGATCTTTTGTGTGTACTAATAAATGTAAAGCACATCGAAACAATTGCAAATAAAAAACAATTAAAATGTTCTCTTAAAAAAGATTTTATACGTCTGTTTAAGCAGCAATTACAGAACAACGAACTAAAATTGAGTTAAATCACAAACCTGAAACTGGGGAATTGTCATTTCAAAGGACTTGTTCTTTACGTGGCCTGAATGATCTGCCACTTTTAGCATCACTGCAATGTAAGGATACTTAAGAGATCTGCAACTGTCCGAGCTCACAGCCATACCCAGTTTCCACTGAAAATCTATAAGCTGTAACGAAACAGTACAAAACAATACTTGAGCAATAACATTGCCTTGAATGCAGATATTTATTCAGTTTTACTACTCTCAGATTCAACTTTTAGTTTCAACACTGGTTGCAGTAAAAGAAAATATCTTTATTTTAATATTGCTAGGGAGCAATAATCAACTGAAAATGGAGAGAGGCAATAAGGGATATAAACAAAGTTAGAAAACAACATGGTCATAATTACAAAAGGAAAAAAGCAAAAACAAAAACCTCCCCCAGATGTGTAATGGAAACAGAAGATGTGACAGGACTGGTTTTCCTTTCACTTGGCTCCTGCACTTAAGAGGACTCCAAGTGCTTTAGACCGTCTCTTACCTCACTTTCTTGTTCCAAATATGCCTTCCCCCATTCCACAACCCAAAAGTCCTAAAATGGAAGATGAGTTATATACTATCTTCATACTTGATGGAGGCACACACGGGAACCATTCCAGTTCTTTCCTCACCACAGTCCTCGACCTGAAACCTGACACTAGGATAACGACTAGGTGATTAGGGTGGTTTTAGATTTCATCACTGTTGATGAAGGACACCTGCCAGGTGATGTGCTCTGCAGTTTACATGTACTAAATGCCTGACTGAATCATCATAACATTATAGGCTATTATTTCCATTTTGCAGATGACAAAACTGAATTTCAGAGAGCTGAGATAATATGTACAAGGTCACAGATTTCTGGAATCAGAATTGAAACCAAAGTCTGTTTGACTCCAAAGATTACACGCTTCTTGACTACCGGCTGCCTCAATACTTTTTACCTAATTCCTGCCCATGATTGTTCAGTGCCGCCATAGCATAAGATAGGATTGGATAAATGCAGCTCTTAATACTGACTCTAAAACATAAGACCATGAGTAGAGGAATTTTGTGTCTGTTTCCAAAGTTTCCAAAGGTACATAGTACATAGCAGGCACTCATAAATTGACCGGTACCTTTTGCTACCAAATTAATGCTGATTGGGCAAAAAGTTTGACTTGTTAATATATTTCTTTTTATAAAAGGTGGGATCGGATTGGTGTGAGCACCACAATTTCCTCCTGTCTCTGACTGGCTTTGGACCAATCAGCTACAGCATTAAGGCCAGGCTGGTGCTGATAAAAGGTTAACATGTTCAGTAAGTAAAAAGATTGTATAGATACATTTTAAATAAAAGTTTCCCATACAAAAATAAAGGATAGGGGCGTGGCGCACCAGTTAAGTACGCGTGCTCCGCTTCAGAGGCCCAGGGGTTTGCAAGTTCCAACCCTGGGCCCCACCGACGCACCGCTTGTCAAGCTATGCTGTGGCTGTGTCCCATATAAAGCAGAGGAAGATGGGCACGGATGTTAGCCCAGGGCAAGTCTTCCTCAGCAAAAAAGAGGAGGATTGGCATCGGATGTTAGCTCAGGGCTGGTCTTCCTCACAAAAAAAATAAATAAATAAATAAATAGATAAATAAATAAATAAAAGATAGTAGATAAATAACAAAAGAACTACAAATGGCCAATAAACATATGAAAAGGAAACAGGGAAACACAAATTTAAACCACAATGAGATACCAATACACACCTACCAAAAACAGCAAAACTTTAAGTCTGACAATTCTAAGTATTGGCAAGGAAGGATGTGTCACATGCTGTTGATGGAAGTCTAAATTGGGCCAATCTTTTGGAAAACTGGCTTTACCTAGTAAAACTGAAGTTAGGCATATCCTGTGATCCAGTGATTCAATTACTAGGAATACAACTTAGAAAAGCTCGTGCGTATATACACAGGATATATAATACAAGAATGTTCCTAGTAGCTATATTCATAATAGCCCTAAACTATTAGGCATAGTAACAAAATGGATAAATGAAATGAGTGAACTTCAACTACACAACACCAAAAATGTTGAAAGAAATATGTCAAAAGCTATGTGATTCCATTCACTTAAACTTGAGGAACAGGAAATATAATATTGTTGAGGGATGCATACACAGATGGCAAAACTATAAAGAGAAGCAGGAATATGATTATCACAGAAGGATAATCATTACCTCTAGGGAAGAGGGAAGAGAGAGGTTTGATTGCAGAGGGGTATGTGGTGGACTTCTGGGATACTGGTAATGCTCCATTTGTTGAGTTTTGATTGTGGTTACATAGATGTGTTCACTTTTAAATTACTCATTTTTTTTGTAACTATATGAAGATATGGAGGTTAATTAAATTTATTGTAGTAATTAATCATTTTGCAATATATGTATGTCAAGTCATTATGCAGTACACCTTAAACTTATACAGAGTTGTTGTATGTCAATTATCTCAATAAAACTGGAAAAAAATAAAATTATTCATTAAACTATCCGTATGTTTTGTACTTTTTTGTATATATGTTATTGTGCACATACAGCGGGGGAGGGAGCAGGGAGGATATAACTGAGTGAATTTCACATTTCTGGTTGAAAGAAAAAATTGTTTGTCGTCTAGGGTGATCAAGTGAACGCTTTATAGAGGGGTAACTTTAAGTTCAGTTTTGAAGAATAAACAGAACTGAAATTCAGAGGAAAATGTGTCTTATATATTTCATAAACACACAGCTGGCAAAGAATAAATGCTTAACAAATATTAAGCAGAACCAACTAGAGATGAAAATAGTCTATATCCAGTTAAGGGATAAAACATTTATCTGCCTTAAAGTGGAAGGCTCTTTTAAGGAAGTATGGAAAATAAAACTGACAAAAATGATCAAAAGGCCAATAATTCTTCACAAATTGTATGAGTTTTCAGAGGTTTTCAAAGTATTCTCATGTGGAAAACATATAAGTCACAAACTTTTCCTCTAGGCAATGGGGACTCACTGAAAGCTTTTGAGTACAGAGAATGATATGAAAGTACTGATGAAAAAATATTCATCTGGTGGCAGAAGAAGACAACAATAATCCAGGTATGAGCCAGGAAAGCACCTGAACGAAGGTGGTGACAAGTAGGAATAAGCTGATCCTATAAAGAATGAATCACTAGGTCTTGATGATCGTCTACATAGTTATGGGAGGTATCAAAGACAACTATAAAAATTTGAGCCCAGATGACGGGGAGAACGCCGGTATCATGTATCACTCAGGACTTTATATGTTTTAAGTCCAAAAATATTATCAAGAAGTGATAGAGAATATCTAAATAGGAATATTCAATAAGTGGCTAAAAATCCAAGAACAGAAAGAATTCAAGTGAATTTATGATTAGAGATATCTAATCAGTTGTATCAGTTCAATGGTGATATCCCAAAATTTAACTGGACAGTTCTTAAACTTATTCAGCCTGTACAACTCCTTGATACAAGAAGTTCCATTTTTACTGTCCACAGTAAAATGGTAAACACTGCTTATAAGACTCAAAGTCTGAAATAAAACTGCATTTTCTAGAACATTTCAAGCAGAAAAGCAATTAAGGAACACAATGTTGGAATTCACTGACCACTACAATGGTTAAACTGGCAGGTGAGGAAATAAGGGAGAATTGTCATCAAGACACACTGTGCAAAATTAGTATTCATGGGTAAAAGAAAGCTGGGATTAGGATTATGAGATAAGAATTTCCCAAATTTTAAACTGAACATTTAAATGCAAATTAAAAGCAAACTTTCTAATAAATAGGAATTAACTGCATAGGAGATTTTAAAGATAAAAGAATAAAAAAAAAATCAGAACAGAACATACTTATCACTCTGGAGAATATTAAGAATGAAGTAATGTAACTTCAAAATTCTTATAAAATGAAGAAAATTATTTAAAAAGGAACACATGGAAAGAAAAAAAGCTAGTAGTGAAAAAAATATTAAAATATCCAGAAGTAAAATGAATATAAAGAAAAATAATCAGAAAGCAAATATAGACAGAAAGGTAAACAAAGCATTTAGCTGTAGTCTGTTACACTAAAAATCAGTTGTTATGGCAGCTGAAGTTATTAGTACCATAAAAACATCACTATAAAAACTATCTATAAAGGAAAAATTAATAAAGATCATTTCAGTTTAAATTTAATTTTTATTTTTCAAAACACAACACAGGAGAAAAGCAGAAAAATAATCATGCACAACTCCACCATCCTAAAAACTATTTTCACATTCCTGTGCCCCCAGTCAGTCATTATAGGTAATTTTTATAGTTAGAGTCACAAATACACACTTTTATTCTTTCTTTTTTTGTGTGTGTGAGGAAGATCAGCCCTGAGCTAACATCCGTGCTAATCCTCCTCTTTTTTTTGCTGAGGAAGACCGGCTCTGAGCTAAAATCTATTGCCAATCCTCCTCCTTTTTTTTTTTTCCCCAAAGCCCCAATAGATAGTTGTATGTCATAGTTGCACATTCTTCTAGTTGCTGTATGTGGGACGCGGCCTCAGCATGGCCAGAGAAGCGGGTGTGTCGGTGCGCACCCAGGAACCGAAGCCGGGCCGCCAGTAGCGGAGGGCGCGTGCACTTAACTCCTAAGCCACAGGGCCGGCCCAAAATACACACTTTTATGTTCTCTCCTTTTTAAATGAAAGTTTTCAAATAGAAACAATGTTAAGCGTTCTGCCCACATTAATCTCACTCAAAAGTGCCATGAGGAAAAGACTGATTAAACAACTCATCCCATGATACAAAACTAGTAGAGTTAGTATTCAAACCCAAATTTGTCTGATTCCATATTTCACATTTTTGTTATACCTATCTTCAACATGATTACATTCAGAATTAAACTAAGTTCTAATAGGTCAAGAAAGTAGACAGGTTCGCAATGGGGCAAGAATGTTTAGCATCTTCTTCATGCTAGACCTGAGCTGTCCAATATAGTAGCCACTAGCCAAATGTGTCTATTTAAATTAACTAAAAATAAATACATTAAAAAGTCAATGTCTCAGTTGCACCAGTCACATTACCAAGTGCTCAACAGCCACACATGGCTGGTGCTACCATAGTGGACAGTGCCAACACCGAACATTTCCATCATCGCAGAAAGTT